GTGCGTTCTTTAAATTAACTAAATTCTTTTATCATGTTTATAATTGTTCTTTTGAGTTCCATGTCCTGCATTATCTCTAGAGGTTTCTCATTGTACTCCTCTAGAGGACTATTGGTATTTGGTGGGGATATGTTATTTTGGTTTTTCATGTTATTATTTTTTCCCTGATTTTGACATGTGAATTTCTTTTGTAGTTTCTGATTCTTGTGTGAGACTCAGGCCTTGAAGTTTAGGTCTGCTACTTTTTGTGCACTTTATGTGTCTTTGTGGTTTACTTTTTGGGCATGAAATGCTGGTTCGTCTAAGCTTTCGGTTCTCTCTTTCGATTGTATATTGGAGTGGCCAGATTGCTTTTGTCTTCAGGAGTTCCCACAGAGGCCCAAGTCAGATGAGGGTCAGATGTTTTCAGGCTTTCTCGTAAGGTCTGGATCCCTCCAGGAAGGATTTTGTCCTCAGGAATTTTGGGGTTGGATTGGCCTGGGAGCCAGGCCCAGGAAAGATGCTGGTTTAGGGCAGCTGGTGGCTGTGCCACCCAGAGATGCAAAGGCAGATGGGGCGGGAAGAGGCCCCAAGGCCTTCTGGGGGCTGCACTGAGGAGCTGGGTTGGTCTGGATGCAAAGGATCAGGAAGAGGAAAGGTCAGCCCCTGCATCCCAGAAAGAGGCTGGTGGGTGTTGCAAGCCCAAGGAAGCCGAGGGAGGTGAGGGCGGAGCCAGGCCCAGAAGCAGTGCTCCTGGGGCCCAGAGAAGGTACTATGTTTCCTGGATGAAAAACATCAGGAAGCAGTATTGGTTCCCCAGGTGTATGGGGCCCCAAAACAAGGAATGGGACAAGACCCAAACTTGGAGAGACTGGAGGGGGAGATGGGAGGGTGAATGAGGCCAGGGGAGTCAAGGCACGAAGGGTGCAATGGACTTACCCCGGATTGAGGCCTGCGGGTAGGAGAGAGGCCTGCGGCGGCTCCTTCAGGCCCAGGGGTGCCAGATATTGTTTTAATTGTTGCAATTCCTGTTTTAACAGAATTTAAACAGAATGGCGGTAAGCCCTATCTTTCTGTGATTACTGGGAGAGGAAACCACAGCCAGGGAGGAGTTGCTCGAATCAAACCAGCTGTCATTAAATACCTCACAAGCCATAGCTTCAGGTGAGTGTAGACTTCTGCTATCAGAGATAGTATACTCAAAACTATTCAATAATTGAAGTCCAACCCTCTGATTTCAACTACGAATTGATGCATGAAGCATAACTTCCTTGCTAGATTTATATCTTCTGGTAAATGAGAAAAAAACATGTAGTTTTTGTCAGTGATGATCTGATAAAGCTGTCTATCATAAATTTGAAATTCTAAAAAATTATATATTTGCACTTTTGATAATGTATTATCCACGATAATTAGATTATAAACCATATATCATAGTTTAACATTTGCTAGTTTTGAAAGACATAGTATATTTTTGGGACTGCTGCTGAAATATAGTTATAATTTAGATTTGTTTAAACTTTAGCAGAAATGCTTCAGCTAATACCAATTTATATGTCTTTATGAGTTAAATGGCATTAATAACTTTTATTGGCAGACATAAATTGTCCTTTTTGATTGTAGTCATTAATCAGTAATAGTAAATGACAAGAAAATTCTAAGTGTGAAGACTTGTTGATTAATAGGTTCTCTGAGAATATGAATCCTTTAGTCCCCTCTCCTTGCTATTTCAATTAGTGTAGCACTTTAGTTTATGCCATGCAATGAAATGTTATATTGTTACCATATAGAAAATAGCAGCATTAATTCTGAGCATGGAAATAAGATGCATTTCTGGTGCCTTTTACAAACGGTTACACTAGAACTTTATCATGGTGAGATTAGGAACTATCTTAGCAAATAGTGTTCCTTGACATTTTACTGAGAAGAGTTGAAAGCCTTATGTGGCCAGTGAATGAAGCTTGTCTACTCTATCAAGGATTTCTTCTTGGTACTTTCTTATGCATAGAAACAATGTAAGACAGACGCCATTTTATCTTTCATTCATCAGACTCTTTTTCATGAAGATCAGATTCAGGCTTGAGAAGTTTTAAAATATTGTCAGTTGTGTTGGCTAGTAATTTAGGAGTAACCCCCTTCTTTGAGATTTTATTTGTTTTGAGACTAAATCAGGAGGATTATAAATATAGATATTTGTCCAGAATATTAATAAAGGAGGCAACCTTGATAGTACATATTATACTAAATATAGACAATTTAAATTGATTACAAGATATATTTCTTAGGCAGCTTGAAAATTTTGTGTTTAAAATAACTCTTTTCTCCTTTCCACAGGTTCTCAGAAATTAAACCAGGGTGCTTGAAAGTCATGCTAAAATAAAACTTAAAAAGTCCTTGACTTAGAAGTCTGAAGGTTTGTAGGTTAAAATTAATTTTGTTTGCAGTAATTCAGTCAGTTCTACTTGCAAATGTGTTTTATTAGTAATACTGCCCAGTTATAAAACAAGGAAAATGTTTTTCAAAATTCAAGAAAAGATTTTTACTGGATCAAATGCCAAATAATTTATTTGTTAAAATATTAAAGAGAATTTTTATTGTCACAGAATGTCTATGGAAATTATCAACTGCAATTTTCAAGTCTGGAGTGCTCTAGTTCACAGAGCAGAAGTGCCGCCTTTGTATGAATTGTTGCTTGATAATTTGGTGAAGTCCTAAAAGTGTCTGTGAGAAGCAACATGCTTTGAAACCTGGTTCTTGCCTTTCAAAAGCTTATGTTCAAAGTAATGGCAGTAGTAAAGAAAGAAAGGAGATCCAACAAAAACACTTGAAATTTTTGCTTTCAAAGCCAGACACAAAATCATTTCATTTCACTATGTCCTGCAGGCAGACACCATTGTATTTTCTTGTGCTTGTATGGAATCTTTATCTCGTCCTTTTGTTCTGTTGTTCTTGTGTGCATTTTCTGGGAGGAAAGTTGGGTCTGAAAGTTGGGGTTTCATAATTTCCATAGTTAGAAAAACTTTCAGAGAAGGAGAAATGGCTAGTTATCCATCATATGTTACTGCCTTATAGAGCTTTCTAGAACTGTCTGTGAGTGGCACTTGAGGCAGTACTAAATGGCTGTCTTTTATACTTGAGACATCATTTCTAAACTATAGTGAGCCAAAATCCAATTGACTTAAATCAGAAAACATTTTTGTTGTAACTGTAAAAGAATTCTTTCTAATTAGAAATATTTTTTACCTTTATTTTTTAAAAGAGCCATCTTTCTGGAAGAAAAGTTTCATTGACTTGTGTTGGTTAGTTCCTGTTAGCTTGTACGTTCTACTTTTCTTTATACAGGCTTAATGTAAATGTAATTCTCCCAATATGAGACAGCAGTTAAGATACATTTAACTTTGGATATATAGAATATTTTCAACATATATAGTATTGGCATGTAGTTATGTTACTTTTCTATTGAGCTTGCAGAATCATCTTGATCAGGATTGCTAGGCTTGAGCTGCACCTATAGCATCTTGATAGAAGGGCTCCCTAAGAGCATGCATTTTAATGGAAATAAAACTCAAAACCCTGTTTTTACATATTGTGAATGCATGCTTTTAAAAGAGCCTTATCATTGAATTTTATTTCCACAAATAAGAATCCATTATTTAGAAACGATTAGTGATGACTGATGCTAAATAATCACTGAGTATTATTTTTATAGTTTTAGATTTTACTAATTTGTTTTAAAAATTACCAGTAGTGTAGCCCACTTTTTGTAATGCTTGGAAGTGTTGTATATGTCAAAAATAAAGCAGTTCTCCTACAGCTTATTACAAAAATCACAATGAAATGAAAATGTGCCTATGTACAAGTTAATATTACTTAAACAGTGAAAAATAATAGTGATCCCTAGAATTATTGGTGTGCAGCTGCATACTCATTCTCTCACTTGTTTTTTTTTTAGACTTCAGATAGGCTTATTAGAATATTGTTAAAATAATTAATAAGGGAGCAGTCAAAAGAAGTACAAGTGTGACCATCTGTGGTTAGAAGTCAAATGAAAAACCAGTGTTTTAATACCTTATCAACTTGTTTTGGTAAGTCGACTGTATTTGCATATTTGCTTCTTCATTTGCTTATTTATTTGAGAGAGGATATAATGTACCCCAGGCTGGCCTTGAACTTGATATGTGTAGATCAAGTTGGTCTTCAAACTCAGAATCTTCCTGTGGCAGCCTCCTGAATGCTGAGAGTACAGGTGTGCTTCACCACACCTGCCTTAATATTTCTTAATTATTATCCATAAATATACAAGCAAAGCTTGAACTTCATATATATTTTTATGAAGTTCTTTAGTCCCAGGCTTCTCCTACCCTGCTATCTGGAATAATTTAAGCAATTATAATTATGAAAGAAAAATTTATGATGTTTTCTTTTTATCTCTAAATCTTATATCATAGATAGTTTGGCAGTTATCTAAGTGTTTTACCCATTTTTAAATTCTGTGTGTCACAGTAAAAGGTGGTTTAGAGATTATCAAAGTTACAGTTTATAAGTATAGCATTTCTGTAATTTGGAAGATTTTAATAGCAGTTGCATACATTTAATGATCTGTTCTCAGTATCACCTGCAAGGTGAGCAAAGAGAATGAATGTGCATACGAGAGAGAGTGCAGCTGGGCAGGGGAACCCACAGCTGTTTCCAGTCCACCCATTTTGTTATTTCTGAGAAAACTGAGGTTTTTCTGACGTTTATTAGTGTTCATTTATCATTGTTATTTCCAAGTTGAAATATCTTCTGTTTATTACTGTGTTCATGCTGCTTGCGTCCCTGTGGTGTAAGTATAGTGATGTTGTATGGTAGAAATTGCAACTAAAATGATTTTCGTCATAAAACATTTGAGAAGAAAAGCTTACAATTCTTTGGGTGGTTTCCTGTCCATTGTTTTGGACCTTTTCTTTTTAAGTTCAAATGTTTTGTATGATTAGAAAAAGGACACATGTAATGACGAGGTTAGTTATTTCTCAGCTGGAAATTGGAAACTTTTGAAACTCAAGAAATTGCTCTGACAATGTTTTAACTGCTCTCAATTAAGAAAATGTATAAAAAGGACAAAAATAATATATACCGTTTTTTTTCAAAGCATTTTTTTTCTGAGCGCTTTTTCCATTGTGCAGTTAAGTGAAGTTCAGTAGTGTTTCTGTGCGGTGGTTAAATGTTGCTTATTTTTTAATTGTAAAGAAAACAGATTTAAGTGTCTGTGTGGCCAAAAGCAAATGTCATTTAAAAGGCAAAAATAAGTTGCTGTAGAGTGTATGTTAATGGTGCTTATTTTTAAAATGTAATTCAAGTTTACAGTATTACTTGATGCCTCTTTACAGAATTGAATAGAGAAACAAGGCTAGAACATGCCTGCATCCTGAAGAGCCTGTGTAACCTCACATTATAGGATGACAAATTGTATTATGTTCCTTAAAGTTGAGCAGTTGACTTTCGTGGTCCAAATGATGAGCCTGTTATTAATAAGTGATTGAATTAACACTGAGACTTCTCATTAAAATGCAACATTGCAGCAGTCGGTTGAAGAATATATTATAAACTTTTCAGACAGTATATCAGAAACAAAATGTTTTTATTTGTACTATAAAGAAAATGTAATTTTTGCTGTTAACTCTGTACTTTTTTATTGAAAATGTTTATAACTTTGCTTTTAGAATTTCTTACAAACCATTTGCAAATTACACACTTAATTTAATAAAATACTTTAGTCACAGTCAAGTGTGAGGAAATCCTTTGTTTGATGTGGTAGGTTTAGTGGCTTAAATATTAAAGACTATTTTTGCATGTATCTTTGTAATTCCATGGGAACAGTGTCATAAAATTTTCATTTCTGTACAACTGTTCTAACTTATTTTGCTTTTTCAAACAGAGGTCCACTTTGCTCTAAGTGGATCAGATGAGCCTTCTCTTTACATCCTTGTATCTTTTGATCAACATCAAAATCAACAGTATTATTTGTGTCTAGGACACAAATAATACTTTCAGTAACATCAGCTTTATTCATCTCAAAAAAGTAGAATAATTCAGTTGTCAAAGATGTTAAAATATTTATTCATTGAATACTTATTGAGCAATTGTTACTGAAGATATAGTGTAAAACAGCTTCTATCCACAGGTACTGTGTAATTATTCTCACCAGCTAATATGTGTATAGAGATTTATAGTGTGCTTTCTTATGTATTAATGTATAAATCTCTAGGGAATCTTACTACATAGATGGTGCTATGCCAACCCAATGGATAGAGACATAAAGGACTAGAGATGTTAACTGGCTTCCCAGTTAGTGACAGAGGTACAACGTCAACCTAGATTCTCTGATTTCTCGTGTGTAACAGCTGCACGTGTTGTAAAAATCACAGTCAAAAAGAGATGGCTGGTTAGCATGTCTGAAAAGCTGCCATTTATGAAGCTGCCTTCCTTATCCAAAGAACAGTATTTCAGGGGAAACCAAGTACAGTTGACAAAAGATAAAGGTGTATTTCCCTCTTAATATTAAACCCTAAAGATAAAGGCTCTAGGACTGATGGAAGTGCTCTTTTCCATGAAGTTTTTTTTGGGGGACTTGTGGTCTTTTTAGTTCCCTACCATGCCTAGGGTGTGACAACTCATTTTTTTCTAGGCAGGGGAGGAGGCTAAAGCTCTGGCTACCACATCTGTAGTCTGTTAGAGGAAGGACTAAGTAGTGAAGGATAAAGCCAGCAGTCTGAGAGACTGGAAGCTGCTGTAGGACAGCTGTCTGCATCCTTCTAACCAAAACTTAGTCATGTGGTCACATCTGCCTGCAAGGAAGGCTGGGAAGTTATCTGTTTCAGGCTGTCTTAGTTCAGTTCAGCTAAATACCAAGTGCTCTCTTAAAGAGAGTGGAGATGAAGGGAATGAATAGCAGCTTCTGCCTTGTCAGTTTTTACCACGATGTACAAACATGTGAGAATTAGTTCTTGATGCATTCCTTCAACAGGTTATTGATAAATTCCCAAACTAAAAGTAATATAAAGGAAAAAAAATCACAGTTCGATGTGTTATGACTTTAAATATTCAAATAATCTTAGTAACTAATTGAGGAAATGGATTTTCAGGTGATGTCTTTAATGGAGATGGGATCACTTTTGATTAGATAACTTACTTGTGGCAGCTAGGTTAGGCCCGTAGGTTATTTCTGGTGGCAATATGTAGTTAATACATTTGCTTCCTCTTTTAATTATATCTACATGCAAAAGCTCAATAGGTGGTACATATGATTTATAGAAAGTAAACCAGGCTAGAAGCTATGACTCCATCTGTGAGTCAGAAATGGCATATAAAGAGTGAACTGTGGAAGTGTGAAGGAGAAGATAATTGTTTTTGCAGATGATGAACTTAAACACTGTTCTCCTGCTTAAAATGTATAATGAAATGTCTTTGTGTAGGAAAAGGTTTTAAACACTTGAAAGTCCCTATCTATGATATTTATCTGAGTATATAAACTTGGCACCTTGCAGGAGTTCTGGAGCATTCTTCCTGGTGACCTCGACTTCTTGCTTTTGTTAGAGATTAGTCTTACTATTTAAAGAAATATTAGCTTTTTAATGTTACTGAAGTTTCAAAATATCAACAGATTTCTTACACAAGGGGTGGAGAGATGACAGAGGGTATGGGCCATCAATGGTTCTATCTCTTGTCAGATGCAGGAGCAGCTGCAGGCTGTGAAGTAGGGTGATGAATGGGGTGATAGAGTGATCACTTAGTTATGAGGTATTGCAAAACAATACTGAATAAAATTTGTTTCCATGGATTGAAAGACATCAGGTTCTTTTAGACAGGAAGCTGTGAAAACATGTCTAAATAACCTGTATTTGATTTTGAACTTCATGTTGTTAGTTGTGTAGATTGTGCTTGATTGTATTAATGATATAACAAGTGGCATTCTATTAGAAATGGCATTCTAAAATGTCCTTACCTACAGCATTTTGGGAAATTAGGGATGGCCTGTAATGAAAATAAAAAGCATGAATGGCATCTAACACAAGTTGTACTCACATTGTTGGGGAGGATTGCAGTCGCTAAGCTAATTAGGAAGAGAACTAAGTGACATACAGAGCTCAGTCAGTGCTCCTGGAAGGCTGTGTGTAAGTTAGAACATGCTTCTGGTATTGCTATTTCAACCTGCTCTGTGTAATGCAGGATATATGTGCAATATATGCATGTTTTATAGTTACATACTCAGACTGACCCACGGGTAATTGGGAAACAAAAATTCTGGACGGAAGTATTAATGCTAAAAACACTTTACAGTTGGTAAGTTAGTAGGAGCTTATGCCAAAGTCCAAGTGAAAGCACTTTGAGACACTTGCAAAAGGCACCTCTGATCCTGACTCACTTTGAGCTTGGGTCACAGGAAGACAAAGGCCAGCAAACTTAAATACTAATAAGAGACACCCTTAAATACTAATACTAATAAGGCCTTCACCCATGAGGGATCGAGGATAAGTCAAATAATTTTGTCTTTTCACTGGCAGAAAAGACTGTAAGGAATGTTCTCTTGGCCCTGAGCAAAGTTTTAGTCTGTGATTTTTCAAAGATTAACAACACAAAGTCACATAACTCAGGGTAGTACAAAAGCAACCAAATGCCCTTCTCCCCCAGATTTTCACACTATGAGCTGAGTTTAAGAGGTCCCAGCCTAGTAATGCCACTCTTAACTGCCTGGCAGAGGCAGATGCAGATCTCAGAAAAGGCACCTTCATCTTGATGGAATAAGTCTAATGAAGCCTGTGTACCCAGCAGTTTATAAGAATTATGGAAGACAGAAGTATGAAATATGTCAAACAATCATCAGGATACAATCACCAAAATACAGAGTGGGAAGCAAACAACACGATTTCTTCAAAACAGTGCGCATCGAATAGAACCTCAGAGATAAAGGGAGAACTTACCAGGACTCAAAAGGTGTAAACCATTGCAGTTTGTGGATGTCAATGAGATACTGGCTCAGCAAAGCAAAACAAATTGTACTACAATAAAGATGATTGGCATTGTGACCACTGAGTGGATATTTCATTATATTGAACTATTTCTTTAAAGAATGATGTTCTATTTTTTAGACTTTAGTATTTAAATGCTTGCTGAAAATGATAGTGGTGAGATTTACTTCAAAATAGGATGGAGGCTGGATTGGGGCTGCAATACAGTAGTAGACCACTTGCCTAGTGTGTATTGGGTTTGATCCCTGACCAGGGTTGAGGGAATGGAGAAAGGGGAGGGGGATAATTATGAATCAGGGTGGGATATAAGGCTGTTGTGGTGGTGTATACCTATAATTATAGCACTTAGAATGCTGAGACAGGGTCATCATCAGTTTTGGGCTAGCCTGGGCTACATAGACCCTGTCTCAAAAACAAAAGCCGATTGAATATGTTTGTAAATGTTGAAGATGGCATTCATTATACTATAATGTCTGCTTTTGAATACACATAAAAGTATGTGTCCCTGTTCAGCATGGAAGAAGCCAGAGTGGGTGGCGTCCCTATTCCCTATTGGCAATTTGGGTAACCCCTTCAGAGGATGGTGTGATAAGAGTAGGAGGTAGGAATTGGCTAGGCAGTTAAGATAAAAAGACCCCAAAGAAATGTAGCCAGTTTTGTGGCTAAAAGTCAAAATGTCCTTGGGCTTACCCTTCCAACCTCAATGGCCTTCCTGCTTTCATGTCTAATGTGTTATCTTACCCTCCCTGCTCACGTTCCCACTTCTAGTTTCAACACCTATATGCACACTTACCCATATATTTATATGTATTTGTGATTATATATATATATTATATATAATATATATATATTATATCACCAGAACCAAGCTAAGTAGTGTATTCATCACTCCTAAGAGTTATCTTTTATTTCTGATTTTTAGAAAAAGACTTTATTTTTATTTTATGTGTATCAGTGTTTTGCATGCTTGTATGTAGGTGCACCACATGCATGCAGTGTCCACAGAGGGCAATGGATCCCTGGGAACTGGAGTTAAGGATGTGTGTCAGCTTTTGAAGCTCTACTTAGAATATCAAAGGTTTATGAACATATTTGAGAATTACTATGTCTGTGCTGTTTCAGGCAGCACTGGCTACTTTGCAAATATATTCAATATAACCTTCATAGCTGCCCAGGGGACTAGGAATTATCGCCCACGCGACAGCCATTATTAGCTCATCAATAGCTGTTCTTAGGATCATAAGTCTTTTTTCAAGAGTCACCCTGATCTTGGGTAAGGTGTTTGACCTCTTTGCACCTCAGTTTCCCTGTATTGTTATGAGAAATAAATGAGTTATTACATATAAACTTAAAAGAGCACAGATTTCTTTCTGTGTCCTGTGGTGGAGATAGTGATTGTGAGCTGCAACCAAGGATGAGGTAGGAGCCAAGGACAGACTTTGTAGGTGGCTTTGTCTTAGTGGGTTTTGTTTGTTTATTCCAAGTCAGGGTCTTACATAGCCCAGGCTGGCCTTGAATTCACTGTAGCAGAGGCTGGCCTTCAACTCCTGCTCTACCTGCTTCTACTTCCCAAATGGTGGGATGACAGGTGTGGGGCACTGTACCAAGCTGAAGTATTCTTAAAGTGTGGCCACAAGGGTCAGAATCTTAAAATACAGGACCCAACCTTTTAGGTTTGATTCAGGCCACTGATTGGTGTCCCAGTGCTCAGAGAAGATGGATTCCTGTCTAGCCCCACTAGATAAATTATGATTGGCCACAAGGCCAATGTGGCAGTCCCATCTCTCTGCCTGTGATCAGTTAAAAGACCAATGTGTAACCAGGTCAAAGAGTTTTAATAGGGTGTTTTAAGGAAAGGTTTTCTTCATTAATATGGAGAGGCATGTGGGAGGAAATCCAGTCTTCCTAAGCTATATTCTGTGGCTATATGTGGTGCCTGGTATTGCAGTCACCATGTTGAAACCAGGAAGAGATGTTCTGAAGGCTCAGGCCAATGTGCAGTGGTTGGACCAGCATAAAGAGGAAAGAACCTGTGTTCTTGGTGACTTCACTAAGCCTCAGAATTAGCCCCCAAACAGACCTTTAGTTGCCTTGTTATGGGAGACAGCAGCTAATTTTGGCTGGATTTTCAGTGACAACTGAAAGAATCCTTAAGGATTTACTCTGCTTTCCAAATGAGGGAAAGTGCACAAAGAGCAGGTGATTGCCCAAATTTGCCCAGCTAATCAGTAGCAGAACCAGGTTTCAGACTGAAAGGGGTATGTCCTCAGCACTCAAGGCTTGTTCTAGGAAATTATTTTTCTTCAGAAATTTTGGGAATCAGGGAGGAGAGACAGAGGCCTCAGGTTCAGTGATTGGAGACTAGGTATGGTGAGAGATCATGTGAGAAGGGAGGGGGAATTCAGGGTGCTGTATGAAATGTGGGCTGGGCAGGGAGTCAAGTGAATGCCAGGGAAATGGAGGTTGAATGGTGATGGTGTGAGGGAGGCAAAGAACTGCTTCAGAAAGTTTGAGGCAGAAGGAAAGTGGGAAGGAGATGGGAAGGGAGAGAATTTCAGAGCTGGAAATATTAGAGATGGGGGTGTTTGTTCCAAGCAGAGTTGGATTTGTGGTGTGGAGGTCAGAAGACCTGTTACCAAGTTTCTGGATGATCTGCTTTGTGAACACAACACCAGGAAGGTGACAGGCAATGGAGTGGAGCGAAAGACCGAGCCAGCCCACTGGAAGTACTGGTGGACTGAGTTTTCCTAATTTGTGTGGTCTTCATCCTTCACACTGACAGGATCCAACTTCATGTCATCACTCTAAGGTTTCTAAGGACTACTCTTCACTGTGCTGTTTTACACTCACTATAGAGATGAAAGGGACAGGATTGTGAGAAGTAGGTGCATTCCAGATCTTTCTGAGTCAGTTCTTTGCCAGCAGGAGTTTACTGTTTATGTGAAACTCTTTCCTGTTCATTTACCCATCTGAATTTATGAAAGATCAATAAAACAGTTTTCAAATGACACACAAGGGCTGCCAAGATGGCTCAGTGGGTAAAAGTGCTTCCCTGATGACCTGAGTGATCCCCAGAACCCACGTGAAAATGGAAGGAGAGAACTAACCCTACAACGTTGCCCTCTGACCTCACATGTGAGCTATGTGTGGCATGCATGCTCCCCACACACATGTACATAATTTTTTAAGGTGATAAATCATTTTGCAATGTTGCTGTCTCACTGCATATGGAAACCATTGAGGATTCATAGTGACTGCTCTCCTTTCCTAAGATCTCAAAGTGGTTGACTCTGTAACAAGAAGTCACTCTCTGGAGCAGAGACAGTCTCTCTTGTCTCTGCTGCTGTGCTGTGTGCTCCAGGCTAACTGGACTCTGAACTTCAAGCTTCCAGGCAATTCTGTCTCTACCTCTCATCTCAAGTAGGAGTGCTGGAACTACAGGTTTGAGTTACCACTGCTGGCTTTTTGTGGGTTCCAGGGATTGAACTCAAGTCATCAGACTCATGCAGCAAGCACTTTACCCATTGAGACATCTTGCTGGGCCTGTTCTGTCATTTCTTAAGCAAAATTAATTTCTTCTCAAAAATAATTTCTGGCAGTTGGCACTTATGAATCTATTTTTAAAACACCTTATTAATTTTGTATTATGCTCATGGGATTATTAGCTAGAATTTCTGAATATAGAGTCTCCCTTGGCACTTATATTTCTTTGTTCCTGTCCTTGGAGTCATGTGTACAGTCTGAAGACATATGCCTATGCTTTTATTTAAGCTAACTTAAATGGCCTTTTTATTAAGGCAGCACAATAATCTATATTTGTTAATGCTTATTTTTATTTTGTGTATTTGAGTGTATTGCTTATATGTATATAAATGCACCACATGCATGCAGTAGCCTCAGAGGCCAGAAGGTAGCATTTAATCCTCTGGAACTTGAGTTATAGATGGTTGTTAACTGACATGTGGGTGCTGGGAACCAAACCCAGGCCCTCTGTAGGAGCAGCCACTGTTCTTAACCATTGTGCCATCTTTCTAGCCTCAGTAAGCTATTTTTTAAGGGAAAAATAAACAAGATGTGGGGCCGGGAAGATAGCCTGGTGGATAAAACCTTTACCATGCAAACATGAGGACCAGAATTCAGGTCTCCGGAACTCAAGTAAGAGCTGGGCAGACATGGCAGCTACCTATAATCCCAGCAGTTGGGAAGCAGAGGCAGGACTTCCAGAGCAAACTGGCTAGCTAGACTAGTTGGAATTGATAAGCTCCAGGTTCAGTCAGAGACCCTGCCTCAGTAAATAAAGTGGACAGTGATTGAGGAAGACACTTGATGTCAACTTTGGGTCTCAACACACATGCACAGACATGTTCATGTGCAAACACATATTTCAACACATGCATGTAATACATATACATATGCAAAAGAAAAGCAAGATGCAAAAGGCTACTCACAATATGATTCTATTTGTTTTAAAAATAGGAAATAGCAGGTAGATCATTGTGTATTTGTATTAATACATCACTAAGTGTGTCTGTCTATATGTACACACTGTAAACACACACAAAGTGAACAGAATAGATTCTGAGACCTAACAATTTCATGAGTGTCAAGAGGACAGTTAAAAAATAGTAACTCAGGGCTGGGAATATGGCTCAGCCATTAAAAGCCCTTGTTGCTCTGGCAGAGGACCCACATTTGGCTCCCACTACCCACATGGCAGCTCACAACTGCCTGTAACTCCAAGGGATCCAGTGCTATCTTCTGGCTCCTGTAGGTCCATACACACACACTCTCATACACTCAATTAAAAAATGAAAATCAGTACAACTTTAGGACCTGGAGGGATGGCTCAGCAGTTAAGAGAACATACTGCTTTTGCAGAGAACCCAAGATGGATTCCTAGCACCCACATTGAGCGGCTGTAACCCCAACTCTAGAGGGACCTGACGCCTCTGGTCTTTGGACCAGCACTCACATGCACATATCCACACATAGATGTAGGCACAACCCCAAATATATTATTAAAAAAATAAAACCAAATCTTTTTAAAAGTAGCTGTA